AAGGGTCATTCGTAGTAGAGATAGTCTATTTGAATGGAGCCTATCGCCTCGTCAAGCCAAATGGCGATAAGATCATGATGCCCATCAATGGCAGATACCTGAAGAAGTACTACCCTTAGTTCTCCTCCCAGACTCCCACGAGTGCATGAGTCTAAACTGGTCCTCACATCCTCCAACTGGTATAAGAGGTTAAACTATTCCCTACACTTCCACTTCTTGAGCCAGGTTCCCAGTTATGGCGAACCGCTCAAATCAGGCGAGCCTAACAGTTTAGGCGAGTTCCACTTCTTGAGCCAGTTTCCCAGTTATGACGAACCACTCAAATCAGGCAAGCTTAAAAATTTAGGCGAGCTCCACTTCTTGGGCCAGATTCCCGGTGATGGCGAACCCCTCAAAACAGGCGGGACTAGCATTTTAGGTGGGCTGCATCAAACGCCCACTTGGTCAAACCTTTAGATAGTTAGGACCAGAGCCACAATCCCCCGTCAATCCTCTTCAATAGGTTGGCGGGACCCCCACTGTCACGTTAACGGTCACCTCTGACGAAATCAACTTACCAATCCTCTTCAAAAGGATGGTAGGTCCTCAAAGTCGTTCCGATCACGACAATCCCTGCCACGTTAACATCAAACCTCTGACAAAATCAACTCACCAGTCCTCTTCAAAAGGATGGTAGGCCCTCATAGTTGCTCCGATCGCAACAAAACCCCATCAGGTTAATAATTACCTTTGATGATCGGCGCTGTTATTCCTACGAGTAACACAGGCTAAGTAATAACCTACCATGCGACGTGTTATTACTTTGGTCAATAGTCACACTCCTACGTCCCTGAACTACTTGACCTATTCCGGATATCCTAACATTCCCTTAGGATAACCGATAGGTAGTAGCCTACCACGCGATGGCTCCTACGACAATCGATCGTCACATTCCTACGTCCCTGAACGATTCGATTATCACCTATGTCTTTTCCCTCACAGACGACAGCAATTATCAAGGACGGCTCGATGGGCGGCGCGCCCAACGGTTCCTCCGAACGACAACTCGCCAAATGGCAAGTCAAAGTTGGGGTCCTCGGTTGATCGCATGCACGAGCAACTACTCCTGGTCTCAAGCTAAGTGTTACCCTCTTGGTTCTACTTGAGCTGCAATGTGAAAGTCAGAGTTAACCTGACCCTACGTCGCGAACAGCTAAGAACAGGAAATGAGCCTAACGACTAAGTCCCAGGCAGATTAGTCGAAGGCTCGCCATATTGCTGAGAACGACATAAGTAGCTCAACCCAAGCACCAAACAGCGCAGGCGAATCCAACATGAGGGTCAAACACAGATCAAGCGCATGCCAAACATAGCAAGAAGAACAAAATGTAGAGCAGTAAGAAGGCAAGCCAAAATGTGATTGGCCATTACGGGCCAAACTTACATAAAGTTTTGAAAGTTTAAACACGCCTAGCGTTAAAAAAATTACAAAACTATGTTTGGCGAACGGTGGGATACACTACATCAATTTCAAGAGGCTGAAGTTGCCGATCTTTACCTTGACAGTCGCGAGCTCTGCCGCCTGCCTAGCACGAGTCTCCGCCTCTTGCCTCTGCAGAAATCTGGTGAGGGCAGCATCGCCATCCTCTTCCTCCTGGCGAAGAAGTTGAAGCCCCTCTACGACCGCTTCGGCAGTATGGCTGAGCCTCGCCTCGCCTTCGAGGGACCCAGCATCTTCGAAGAAGGCGGCATCCAGGTAGGCGTCCATCTTGGCCAACACCGCACGATGTTGCTTGCGCAAGCGTTGGAGCTCGGCCTCTCTCGCCCGAATGCGCTTCGCCAAATCTTCACCCTCGAACATGAAGCATACCGAGAAGAGTGGTGATTCAGCCGATGCGTCGTCCTGCGCTAGCTCCTCCAAGCGATACATCCACCTTTCAAAGCGGGCAAGCTCTCGCTCGCATCATAGTGCGAGCTGAGGACCGCCCACACGGCGGACCGCCTCCAGACCCGCTTCCACGAGGGGAAGCACGTCGTGATACTTTTCGGCACCCTCGCTAATGATGACGGCAGTACGGCATACCAAGCCCTCCAATCGCTGGAGGATCTCTACCACTGGAGGGGATGCAGGAGCCGGAGCAGAAGACCCTTGAGCCGAGCTCGCGGGGGAAGCCGACGGCGCACCGACGTCAACGACGGTGGCAGAAGAGCCGACGCCTTCAGAGGCACCATGGTCAGACGCGGAGGCCATGAGTCGAGAAGGGTTTCCGCAGCAGTTCTCGTTTACGAATTATTTCGAAGACGCGAGAGCTTCGTTGAAAAGACAATGAGTGCATCATATATAATCAAAGATCCAACGGCCGAGATTTGTTATCCCAAACAATCGAGCGGCCCAGATGTTCTGTGACGCTTCAAGCTCAACACCAATAATGAAAGGCCATTTCTCTCGGGACCCCAAACCGACCGATCGGGTTGAGCGCAAGAGGCGAAGCGTCCTGTCACTTCACTATTAATGAGCATTAACAAAGCCTTAGCTGGCAAGCACTTGGGCCCGCAGGCAGACGCGTGGCACGAGTTTCGCCCGCATTTGAATCTTCGACTGTGAGGCAAATTCTACGATTACCTGAGTTTCGCCTACAGTATGAACCCGCCAGCAGCTAAGTTCAACCTTCAACGTAAACTCACCATCAATCGAATTTTGCCAACAGCATGACCTCGCCGACATATAGGAGGAAAAATTTGTATCAATCGAAGTTTTGCCTGCAGTATGAACTCGCTAGCAGTCGAATTTAACCTTCAAGCAAACTCGTCATCGAGTGAGTTTCACTTGCAGCGTGAACTCGCCAGCATTTCGGAGCGTGACTTGCAGTGCTAATTTGCAATCATTCGAGTTTTTGCCTATAGCATGAGCTCATCGACATTCGAGTTTGGCTAAACGAGCTCACCAGCAGTTCAGTGTGGCCTTCCACGCAAACTCACCGTCACTCGAGTCTGCCTACAGGGTGAACTCGCCTGTATTTGAGTTTAATCTTCGACGCAAACTCGTCACCGCGTGAGAAGTTTCGCCTGTAACATGAAACCGCCATCGGCTATGCAAGAAAAACACTGAATGGCGACATGCTAAAAGGAAGTGTGAGAAACAAGAAAACACGAACTTCATTAGCTGCTTCTAGACAGTACATTTGAACAAAGTTATGACTTTGCAACTAAGAAGGTCATAATATTACATTCAAGAAGCAAAACATGCACCCAGTTTTTTTAAGACAATACATTTGAGCAAAGTCATGATTTCATAAACGAACAAGTCATCACATGGTTTCAAAAGCAAAGCCGACAAAATGTCTTAAGATGGTCACAGGCCTGAGACCTCAGTCCAACAAGCTAAAAGATGTGAGCTCTTCTTTGACCGCTGCCACTCTTCTTGCGTGGTCCTCCTGAGCTTTATCTTCAGCCGCCTTCTGAATCCGGTCTTCAAAGCCCGACCTGGCGGCAGCATCTTCCTAGCGCAAGGCGTGGAGACTTCGAGTTTCCGCCTCAGCAGTCTTGCTAACCTTTACGACCTCGGATTGAAGCCCCCTCAGAGTTGCCTCCGCCTGCTCCAACTCAGCTCTCAGGTGAGATATGGTGCGATTGAGGTCGATTATCCGCTCCTCAAACGAGTGCTGTTGATCCGCCCAGAAGGAGACAGTGGATTCTAAGTCCGCTATTTCCCTAGAGCGGACCTCCTGCTCCCAGGCTTCCTGACGCCTGACATGAGCCAAGAAAGACTCTACGTCAACCTCCGGACCTTCCCGTAGCAAGATTTCTAGCCTCACCAAGCGTGACTCCAGGAAAAGGAGCTTCTGCATGCAGCGCGTAGCAACCCGGTTCTCACCAACCGCCTGAGGTCAACCTTGTGATCTAAGAGAGACTGTTTGAAGTGGTTGTAACTTCTCATACCGAGGCTGACAAGGGAGATCACCTGCTTCACGGCATTCTCGAACTCTTCAAGGTGAGCCTGTAGAGACAAGGAATCGGAGGAAACAGGCTCTTGACCCGGAGTGAGCACCGTGATGGGTGGAACATCGAGACAAGGTTCAATTCCCGGCTGGGGAACAGAGCCTGAGGCAGAAGAAGTCGCGGTACCCTCAGACTCATCGTCGGAAATTAAAATAGGCTCGGCCGCATGCTCTTCGGTAGTCGGCACCTCTTCTTGGGCTGTGAAACACAATAACAACACAGCAAAGGGGTCAAACAAGAAATACCTGCCCAGCTCATGCCCGCACTTAAATTAAGGTTCAGACGAGGAATACCTTCGGCGGCGGCGGCCTCAGCGGTGCCCGAAGAAGACGCCTCCTTCCTTTTCTTCAATGTGACTCTCTTTACCTTTGGTGCCATTATGAGTACAACGAAAAGAAAATTTGGGTTTCCTCTGGTGAAGACAGCGAATGAAACTGTAACCTCTTATAGCAAAGGGTAGGGGCGTTAAATACTCTAATCTTAGACGGTTATTCGCCACTCAATTGGACCGTTCAGGGCTAAACAGTCGAGAGTAAGGCCGAACAAATCAGATCTCGCACGGACGGCTAGGATCCAACGGTTCCTGGACACAATCTTCAGCAACGGCCCGAATTGGGCGCAGCAGATGAAGAGCCCCACTGCGCCGTATTTAATACGAAACGACGTGCCCACGTCTTCTTGGCTGTCATGCACATAGATTAACACGTGGACCACTAAAAGCGGAGCCCACCCAACATCGAATTCCCGTGGGCCAAAACCAATTGGATTCGCATGCCCCTCGGGAACTCGAGTCAGTTCCAAATCCGCCTGCAGACGAAATCCTCCTGTAGGTAAGACAAGCTTGCAGCTGAAGTTCGCTGACAGCTAAGATCCCCCCACGGCTAAGATTGTCCCGCGGCCAAACCTTGATTAATGCATAATAAAAATAGAAATGGAGCGTGCACAAAGTAATAGTGACCAGAAACGAAAGGATAATTTCATTCATAAAGAAATCCTATTACAACGGGGAATAAAAAGGCAAATTACAAAGCTCTCAGCCGTAACTCTGGCTCACGAATCTCCCTGGCATAATGAAGCTCGAGATTCATCAGGATCTCTTGGCAAAAATCTTCCTCAGTACGCGAGACCAAATCTTGGATTGTATCTCTAGCCTGCTTGAGGGCTTGGTCCTTTTCCTCAACGGAACCAATGACCGATTGTCGACGGGATTCAATATCCTCCAACTCCATTGCCAACTGTTCGCGAGCCTTCTCTTGAGTAGCTAAGGAGGCCTGCGCATCAGCTATGACTTGCTTCAGCTTCGCTATCTCGGAAGACATGCGAGAAAAGTGATTATCGGCCTTCTGTTGTTCGTAGGCCACTCGTTCGCCCTCGGCCTTGACCTGCTCCAACTCTGCTGACAGCCTTGCCTCCAACGACATGGTCTCGTTCAATCGTCGGTCGCGCTCTTCCACTGCTGATCGAACTTCGCTGGACGTGAGGTCAACAATTTCGAAACTTTTCGCGCGAAGGGCCAGCAACTGTCGGATGGCCTCCTCCACCTCTTTC